TTAATGGTATGCTCGGATAATCCCCACATCTGATGAGGATTGGGCCGAGTTTGAACCAAGGACTTACCCAAGATAAATGGTTGACGTCCCATTGTTCTAACTCGACCCTCCACTCCATGGTTAGGCGTCGGTGGAGAGGGATTTTGGAGAAGTTTCTCGAAGGGTCGGGGAACATCCCCATGTGACTAGAGGCGTAAAAATGTGTGATACCCCACACAAATAGCAGTGAAGAGAAGCATCTAAGTGTTCTTCCTTGCTTCTGGTGACAGAATTCCACCGAAAGCAAGGTGTTGGTAAGAAGTGCAGGCAAGGGACTCTTCAAGTTGACGTCCCAGGCGAAGAAGGCGTCCATGACGGCTTGATCCACTGTGTTGAGGTGCAAGGGAAACAATATCGTCCCAAATACGATTAAATCCAGGGTTTTGTTAAAAGCAGTCCATTCTGCCTTTTCAGCCAAAGAGGACAGATGGTCTTCTAACATTGAGACTTTCCAACCCTGGACATTCCCTTTTGCTATCAGGGTAGTCTGCCGAGATGGCAATCCGATGATGGCAGCAACTTGTGCTGCAGGAGTATATGTCCCATGGCGAATATGGACCCCGGCTGACTTGGGCCATTTTAACATAATATCATACTTCTCCAAAGTAGGCACCATATCAAACTGCAGGAATTCGAAGCAGTGCAAACTAGAATTCCAAAAATGAATTAGAATCCTGATGAAATAAGGATCGACACAGATCTTCAGCAGGTCGAGAATCCGTCCGTAGGATATTTCGAATTCAGAGCGGACCTCTTGTGGCATTAATGCGCAGAGTCGTTCTAACTTCTCGGCATGGTATCGGGGAACATCCACTTTCTTCAATTGTCTACTAGTCCCCTCCATTTTCTAAAAACAAAAAATGTATGTTATGAATATGATGCTTAATGCGGGCATGCATGCGAGTGTTTATTTTTCCTAAACATTATCATGTTTTATTTCTACATGATGCATGATAGTATTTGGTCTTCGTATATTTTTTTTCAAAAAGAGAATAAACTACCTACATGGATGTTTTATGAATTTGATGTTTGTGAACAAGATCCCATTTTTATTTTTGGGTTTTATTTGACTTGTTTTTTTGTAGCCTTTTATCTCTTCTGTTGAACTGCGTGGCTACTTAGCTTACAAAGAACCTGAAACTAGGCTAGCTAAAAGGCAGACTGTCCGAGATAAAATGGTTTATTATGAAAGAATAATTTTAGCGTCCCTTATCTCTTCTATCGGACTGCGTGGCTACTTAGCTTACAAAGAACCTGAAACCAGGCTAGCTAAAAGGTAAATTGTCCGAGATAAGGGTGTTTATTGCGAACATATTTTTGTGGTTTTTTGTTGTTTGATTATGCTATGAAATCAAATGCAACAAACAGATGTACACACAATTCACTGATCCGCGAACAAGTAGGGCGACATTTTAATTACGAGGTAGGGTTTTCCTGCAGAAGATTGCGTATTCAGGGTAGTTATATTTTTTCCTCACCAAGGCTAGGCCCCCAAGGTTCCCCCATTATAGGGTCCCCACTCTCCAGTCTTCCGACCATGCATGGCACTAAGGCCGTAGTTAGTCTTTGTGCCAAAAGAGGAAGGTTATCACCTTGAGTGGTGGTTTCTGATCATACCGGTGGGCTCATGGCCCTCATTACGGCAAATCGTACCTGCCACCCACTCCCTATGGATTTCTCACTTGCCCCCGGGTATAGAGGGAACTGTTGTGTGCAAATGTTTGTGTACATTTTGTATTTCAAACAATTGCGTAAACTAAACAAACAACAGTTATGAAAGCTAAGCAAGTAAAACATATTATAAAACAAGGTAGGGTAAAAGTGAAATTTTTAAGTTTATTTATTAAAATGGTCCATCACTAAATGGGATCAACTCTCCGGGCTGCCTCAGTGGAGTCGCCATCTATCGCTGCCATCAAAAGAGGCGGTCGGAGCGACGCGATGGTTTCCGACTTTTGACTCGCGTTTTAAAAGTGGTGTTACAACGCCTTTAGGTTATCCGATAATCGGGCTGGACCTAAGGGCGAGATTTTCAAAAAGGGTTCTTATGGATTCGCCACCGACGTTTTTACCGAAAACATTGGAAAAGGGAAAAAGAAGGCATTGGTTTTAGAAAAACCAACTTTGGCTATTATAACCAGAGTCGGGTAAGGGAGTTATTTACGCGTGTGGAAGGTATTAGCACCCCCACGACGCCCCTTTCAGGTTCCTATGACATTTATTTCATAAGTAAACCTTAAAATGATGCTTTTACCCTTTTATTTGCGGAATTAAAAAATAATGACTACATGGTCCTAGCAGCTAATGCATAGATAAATGTAAGGAAATAGCGGTAAAAGAAGGAGAGAAAGTATGAAAACCTTCGAAGCAAGCTTTCATGATTAATATTCTTGAAATAGGATGCTTTTTGGCAATCCTTCACTCTACAACGTTAATCGCTCTTTCTCGCAACGCTACAGAATACTCTCTAAGAATACTAAGAAAACTTTGGAAATGCTTCGGAGGGATTTAGGAGAAGAATTTGAAGAAGTTACAGAAGGAAAATTTAGAGAATGGTGTGAAAAGAAGGGGAGGGCGCCCTTCTTTTATAGGGATTCGCGCCTATCAGGTCGAGACGACCGTCTCGCCAAATGGGACGGTGGTCTCGCCTTTGACAAATGGCGAGACGGCCGTCTCACCAATCGAGAAGGTGATATCGCTTTGACAAATGGCGAGAAGGCGGTCTCACCAAACGGGAAGGCGGTCTCGCCATTGGTAAGTGGTGAGACTGTCGTCTCGCCAAATGAGATGGCAGTGTCTCCCTTTGCTGATGACGAGACGGTGGTCTCGACCTTCTAGGTGGCCCTCCCTATTTTTTCTGTACAAATAACCTTCCTAATCTAAAATGGGGCCTTTTGGTCTATCCTATAGGGACCTGTTAGGTCTTGCCCATCTTCGAATTGGTGGTCTTCTGTTCTTTATTTTGAGACCGGGCAAGATTTGGGGTCTACATGGAATCAATGTGAATGATTTGAGTAGGTGGCATCAACATTGATAGGTTAATTGATGTTATGAATTTGACCTAGCCATTATACAAAGGAGGGAAAAGGAAGTAAGTCAATCCTAAGTTCTTATAGTTCATATTTTCTAAATATATTTTATAGCTTTCTACCGTTTATTTTCAATCCAAAAGTTTATGAAAAAACAATTTTGTGTCAATACACTTAGTAAGCATATGATTCAAAATTTCCAGCAAAATCGTTCCTCGTGGAATCGACTTTTATTTAATTGAAATATTGTACTACGATTGATAATATTGGTACGCTTGCCAAAAGACCAACAACTAGCACCTTCTTGCATCTTCGTATTAACTAATTGACAAATAAACATACCTTGTTTGATGTTGATGGCTTCTCGTACATGTTTGATAATGCATTTATCAAACCATATGTCGTCTTCTCGTTGATGATGTTGTAGGCAACATTCTTCACTAATGTTAATCTAACGACGTCCAAATTCTATCGATCTAGCAACTTTCAATCTACCTGAGACATTGTTTTTGGTTTATTCTCAGACAAAGGTTGGTACAACTTTTTGTGATAAAGATAATCATTGATTAGCATCCTCCAAATTTTGAAATCGCTTCTATTGAACTTGTCAATCTTCACTTTCCCATCTTCTGCCATTACTCCCACTCACATAAAAAAAACCTAAGCTCTTGATACCATTTGTTGGGTCTTTCAAGGGGATTTATTAGAGAGAACAACACCAATGAGACAAGAGTCCAACCCATATAAGGATTGACATCACTCTTAACCCAAAACTTTAATGCATTGTGTTATGGGTCTTTTCTCCTCATATGTTGTTAAACTTTCTCATTACATAATGTGGGACTTAGACTCACACTTGTGTTTCCTAACAATCTTCCCCTCAAGTGTGAATTCTTTCACATTAGTATATCCCCTCGAGCTCACTAATGGCCTTTCATGTACCGTCATAATCCCTAATGGGACACGCTTAATTGACTCACTCTGTTAGGAAGACTTTCGATACAAAGACTACTTTTAAACTGTCGATCAACCTTCGACTCTTATACCAATGGTTGGGAACACAAGTGCAATATAAGACAAAAGTAAATAACAAGAACACAAGGAATTTATATGATTCAGTCAAAGTGAACTACGTCCATGACTGCACTAGATGATAGTTCTCATTCACTCCTTGTTGGGTCTTTTGAGGGAGATTTACTAGGGAGAACAACACTAATGAGACAAGAGCCCAACCACATAAGGATTGACACCACTCTCAATCCAAAAACTTAAGGCATTGGGTTATGAATCTTTCTTTCTTATATGTTGTTAAACTTTCTCATTCTCACACAATGTGGGACTTAGACTACCTTGTATTTCCTAACAATCTCCCCATTAAGTGTGAATTCCTCCACATTGGTACATCCTCTCGATCTCACTAGTGGCCTTTCCATATACCATCATTCATCCTAATGGGACAAGTTTACCTGACTCACTCTATCAGGAACACTTTCGATACAAAGATCACTCTTAAATTGTCGATCAATCTTCGGCTCTGATATAGTTGTTGGGAACATAAATACAACACAAGACGAAAGTAAATAGCAAGAATACAAGGAATTTACGTGGTTTAGTCAAAGTGAACTACGTCCACGACTACACTAGATGATAGTTCTCATTCACTCCTTGTTGGGTCTTTCGAGGGAGATTTAATAGGGAGAACAACATCAATAAAACAAGAGTCCAACCCATTGACACTATACTCAACCTAAAACCTTAAGGCATTGGGTTATGGGTCTTTCTTCCTTGTATGTTGCTAAACTTTCTCTTTCTTACACAATGTGGGACTTAGACTCACACTTGTATTTCCTAACAATCTCCCCCTCAAGTGTGAATTCCTCCACATTGGTACATCCCCTCGAGCTCACTAGTGGTCTTTCCATGTACCATCATTCATCCTAACGGGACACTTTCGATACAAAGACCACTCTTAAACTGTCGATCAACCTTCGGCTCTGATAAAGTTGTTGGAAACACAAATATAATACAAGACAAAATTAAACAACAAGAACACAAAGAATTTATGTGGTGCAATCAAAGTGACCTACATCCACAACTACACTAGATGATAGTTCTCATTCACTTCTTGTTAGGTCTTTCGAAGGGGATTTACTGGGGAAAACAACATCAATGAGACAAGAGTCCAACCCACATAAGCATTGATATCACTCTCAACTTAAAACCTTAAGACATTGGTTTATGAGTCTTTCTTCCTTATATATTGCTCAACTTTCTCATTCTTACACCATGTGGGACTTGGGCTCACACTTGTATTTCCTAACAATATTCCCCTCAAGTGTAAACTCCTTAACATTGGTACATCCCCTCGAGCTTTCTAGTGGTATTTCCATGTACTGTCGTTCACCCTAACGGGACACGATTACCTGACCCACTCTGTCAAGAAGACTTTCGATACAAAGACCACTCTTAAACTGTCGATCAACCTTCGACTCTGATACCACTTGTTGGGTCTTTTCAAGGGGGCTAACAATAGGGAGATTCTCACAAATGGGACACGAGCCAACCATATAAGAGAATATGACACCACCTTCAACCCAAAACCTCAAGGCATTGAGTTATGAGCCTTTCTTCCTTATATGTTGCTCAACTTTCTCATTCTTACTCAATGTGGGACTTAACTCACACTTGGATTACCCCATAATCTCCCCTTCAAGTGTGAATCCTCCATATTGGTACATCCCTCTCAAGCTCACTAATAGTCCATGTACTGTCGTTCACCTTAATGAGACATGCTTACCTGACCCACTTTTAGAAAGACTTTCGATACAAAGAACACTCTTAAACTGTCAATCAATCTTTGACTCTGATACTAATTTTTGGGTCTTTTCGAGGGGGGTTAAAGATAGGGAGATTTTCATAAATGGGACACGAGTCAACTATATAAGAATATGACACCACCTTCAACCCAAAACCTTAATGCATTGGGTTATAGGTCTTTCTTCCTTATATTTGCTCAATTTTTCTATTCTTACTCAATTTGGGACTTAACTCACTTGGATTACCCAACAATCTCCCCCTCAAGCTCACTAGTAGTCCTTCCATGTACCGTCATTCAGCATAATGAGAAACGCTTACCTGACCCACTTTCAGGAAAATTTTCGATACAAAGACCACTCTTAAACTGACGATCAACCTTTGGCTCTGATATCACTTCTTTCGATAGAGATTTACTGGGGAGAACAACACCAATGAGACAAGAGCTCAACTCACATAAGGATTGACATCACTCCTAAAACCTTAAGGCATTGGATTATGGGTCTTTCTTCCTTATATGTTGCTCAAGTTTCTCATTCTTACATAATGTGAGACTTAAACACACACTCGTATTTCCTAACAACCTTTCCATAAAGGTTCACAATGATTCCTCTTATTTTGTCAAATGTTGACTAGCACAATTAATGTGAGGTGATAAGGTCGGCTCGTGGCGAATTGTGTGTCAAATGTTTTCATCAGTGTGTCAAATAATTAATGGTATTGGATGAGAGCCTTATGAACCAGTTTAGTGTTGCACCTTTAAGCGAGGTTGGAAAAATCAACAGAAAATAGCATCCTCTATAATGTATAAGCTGACTTGTGTTACATAGATGTCAATGTATTCATCCAGATCAATTGATTCATCATATTTTTCTAGTGTTAAGTTATTCCAACTTAGGTGCCTATAATGGTCACTGGCTTGTGAAGATAAGTGCATAGATGTAAGAGAGGTCATCTGCAGATTGGTTCCGGCTTCAAATGTCCTAATGGAGGTATTGTGGGATTGCTCTTGGTTACCCTTCGTTTGAGCCATTTTCGACATGTGTAGGAGGTGCCTTCTTACTAATTCAATTTTTGTCTGATTTGAGCATTCTCACGTTTGAGAGCCTCAACTTCTTTAATGTTCTTTATTTGAGATATGGTCGGTGTACCTACAAAAGACACTCTAACGCCCAAGTCAAACAAGGATTTAGTATAAAGAATATTTGTAATCAATGAACAATAATTATACCTTAAAAATCCACATCTATATTTACTCCCTTATAGTTGGACTTCATTAATGGGCTTTAACTTTTGGCATCATTTAGATATCTTTGGCTGTCATTCTACGATGAGAAGACCTAGTGGCATGACTACAATACACGTGGTTAGGCCTATCCATGTGAAGGTCTTCCTAGTCGTATGGATACAATATAATTATCATTTTAACTTTTTTTAACTTTCTTTAATTTAGACAGAGGTTAATTTAACTTTTATTTCACTAAATTTTTTTATCCTTCAAATTAAACAAATTTAGTTTATTATATAAACTTTACTTATTTTTTAAATTAATAATATCATATATATATATATATATATATATATATATAAAATAAGATTAAAAATATAATTACGTAAAAATATGTTCAATTACTTATTACAATACTAAAAGTTATTATTTGATGTAAATCAAACTCATAATCTTTATTTTGATATTATTTATTGGATTAAATGTTTAAAAATAAATAAAAAATATTATGGTTACTAATCTATGGAAATATATAATAATAAAAATACTATAATTTAATTATGTTTAGATTTATATTTTCTTCGACACATAGGACTCATCTGTTTATTTTCTTTATATATAAATGAAAAAGAATGAAAAATACAAGAAATATATTATTTTATAAAATTATCTTTATTTAAATAAATTATTATTCATATTTATGTTTACAACTTTAATATATATATATATATATATATATAATAATTACTATTTGAATAAAATATCATAAATATAGAAGTCATTATAAAAATTAATGAATAAATTTAGAAAAAAATATAAAAACATATATTTTATAATTATATATCAAAATATATATTATTAAAAAAATAGATATATAATTTACATTTATTATTTTAAATAATTATATAGGTAATTTTAACTTAATTTGATTATTTATTATTATTATTTTAAATAAATATTTTTATTCCTTTTCATATCACTTTCCTCTTAAACAAATAATCTTTTTTTATTCTATTTCATCTTTTTTTTCCTTTTCCTTTTTGTTTTCATCGTACTTTCTTTTCTTATTACCAAATAAACGTTTAAAGTGTAACATGATTTATCTTATCATCGTAAAAACTTGAGACATACGCACAACAAAATATATTAAAAAAGTATTCACCAAATAATATTTATGATATTACAAAGCATTAATATTGTGAAACGTGAAGTGAAAACTTTGATTTGAGTTCATGCATGATAAAGCTTACATATTTAGTAGCAAAAATATATTCGCTAAATCCAGAATGTTATAAAAACGCAAAATCCAAAAGATATAATAACTGAAAATAATATAAATTAAGCAACTTAGTTAAACAGAGGACTGCTTGAACTTTTTGAATTATTAGAGATGATACAATAATTCATTAACTTTTACAAATCTTTGCCAAAACCCTAAGCGTGGTTACAGAAATGTTCCATGTTCATATTGTTAGGTCTAAATTTATATAGTTGCTCCCATGAGATTGTACAGAATTAGAATCGATGACATGAGTATCTACTGTATTTGCTGAAGAAAAATGCATCCTCTCTTGATTATCATGCATCAGTGAAGAACTAAAAGAGAATGAGAGATCAAGAAATTTCATTGCTCTACAATTTTCTTCATTTGAAGTATATGTACTTGACTCCGGTTCCTGCAAAAATACAATAATAATTATTATTCCTATGGTGTTGTACAAGCTTATATTGAAGTGCCATTTAATTACTGATTTGAATAATAATTAAATGATTTCATTAAACCTCATCCAAGTCTAAACTCTAGATAATTGATATATTCATAAACGAGTGTACATTCATATTAAAGAATATAATATTATTAAATAAATTATTTATTTTGATATTATTATTGAATTTTTTAGAATAATAACCGGAAAATATTTATAAACAAGACCATGAGTCAATTACGTAAACGGTAAATTTTGACATTGAATAAAGATATAATATATAATATATAATATATAAGGAAGTATAATTTTTACCGTAATTGAGTTAGTTTTGTAGGATTCAATAATAAAATATATCTTTGTTTCTAATAATAAGAAAATTTTATGTAACATATTATGTTACTTCAATTGTTATTGCGCGAATGATATCATCCTCAAATCATTTCATTCTTAGTAGAGATTTTTTCTTTTCTAAGAACATTTTTCTTTCATATGTTGGTGTTTTTGTCTTTACATAGTATGAAGCAAACAACTAGAACTTGACTGTAATTGGATTTTCCTTTTTCATGATAGAGTTTACACTATCTGGATAAGCTTAACTGTAATCACTTAAAGAGAGAAGAAAACATGCTGGTAAATAAATAGTGCTTTCTAACCTAACTTAAAACCAACTTATATAATTGGATTATATGAAAACTATTTTTATTAACTTTCCCAAAATGTTAAGATGAATAAGTTGAATTTATTAAAAAGCTTAATTAGTACGTTATCATTTTCTTTAAAATTAAAATTAAATACTGAATAATAAATTAAAATAGAACCTGATTTAGATCGTAATCTGTTGCACTGGTCTGTGAAAGCCCTTTATTTTCTGACGGGAGAATTTCTTTATTGACAATCCTCATATCATATTTCGATGCCCTACGTTTTGTTCCCTGTGATCTGAGTAGGAAAAAGAAACATCTGAGAGAATTTAATATATGACAATGAGTGATATGACATCAGAAATGTATATTTATATATGATCTTAAAGGTATATTTAGATCAAATCATGAATTTCTAAATATATTATGTTTGTGGTATCTAATTTAATTTATTTGCTGAATCTTTCACTGTTAATTATAGACACCCTTTATTATCTCTAAACTTTATAAAAGTATATTATTTTTTCAATTATATACTGTTTTGTTTATGAATTTTTATCGGATTTCTTTGTAATTTATTGAAACGTATTTTAAGATAAAATCATAGATTGGATATGATAATTTATTATAACAATATGATCATAATAATATCATTATTAACATTAGAATTTATCATAACAATGTTATTATCATAAAGATGAGATGAATACACTCTTATTTTAAGATAAAATACATACCAAATATAAAAAAAACAAATTTAATCCAATTTAATTATCTAAATAAATTACTATATAATTTTTTTCTTTATATTCTCCATAAATATAATCAAATTAAATGAGATTCTATATTATTGATTTATATGAATTATTATATTATACCTTTGTGATGAACAATTGGAGCACATTGGTAGATCTTTAACATTTTCATTCCCTTCCATCTCCTGCTCATGTATTGATGCCAGAATCGCATGTCCCTTCAGGTTCCTGTACATCTAAACCCCAAAAATTTCTTTTAGAATAAAGATAATATTTAACCTTAAATTAATTATCTATTTTTTCTCAAAGTTTTAGTAATGAAATCATAGGCACAATTACATATATATAATTCACAAGACAAATATAATGTAAACATCCTTAACATTTATAGCCGAAATCATATTAATGTTTTCATTTCGGTACGTATGTACTTAAAGTAAAAAAATCTTTATATATATATTAGTAATTTTATAGCAATTCATTATCCATAACACTAAATATGTTCGGGGAGAAATTGGTGGTGTTTTTAAAACTCTATTGATTATATAGAAACATTTTCAAAAGCTCTCAAAGTCATTGATTCAATCAAAATAAATATAACCTTATTGTCCACATCTCATAATTTGTACTCAATTTTATTTAATCACATTAGAACGCATGGTTATAAATGGCAATATAATATGCTTAAGTCTAGTATATAGTACATTAAAACTGAACATAGGTGTAGTGTATAGAAACGAGTTTCAAGCCTAATAAAGGAAACAAAAGTGCTTCCTTTTCTTTAAAGCTTACACAGATATTCGCTTTTGGCATCTCAAAAAGCAAGCTACCTATACAACGCAACAAAACTTGTTTTCACAGATTTTGTTAAAGAAGAGAGAAAAAGAGTTTCACGTCTTCAAAATTAATATATATATTTTTTCGTGTTGTATATGCACATGTACCTAACCAAGATATATTATTATTATATTATTATAAGTTGCGCGTGCACAAAATACATTTTAATACTAAAGCAATTATTTTTGTTCATTCTCTTGGTATCAACAATATAACCTAAAGGGTGTGATTATTAATATAAATATATATAGATAGGATATTATTGATAATTTCTTTTTGTTTGTACCAAGTAATGGAAAGAAACAACATAAGTAATAAAAAATGAAATTAAAGTAACAGCATAAAGAAGTGAGGATAATAATGGGGTATATATGGCTCTTCATGAACTTTGTCATCAGCTGAAAAGCAATGGAATATAATCATGAATGAACGTAGCATTATAGATATCTATTTATTATGACAAATCTTGTTCTCCACAAACTACAGTTTTTCTTTTTCTTTTTCTTTTTGTTGTTTCATCAATTATTGGTGGTACAAAAAAAAAATTCCCTAGACCGTGTTTTTGGTCTCATATATTCATAATTTGATTGAGTTTGATGAAATAGAGACAAGAAATTTAGGATTTTTTTCCTTGTTAGGAAGAAGAATTACCCAAAAACATCGTCATATTAGGAAAAAAAATGCTGTAAATTCTGCATTTTTTTAACCTAACCCACCCCAAACCACAAAAACACAAAGGCTTAATTAACTTCACTTGTAAGAAAATAAATACATAAAGCTACTCACAAGTATTATATATAAATACAAGTATATATCTATGTATAATAAGAATATATATTGGACCACATGGAATAATTATATACATATATATACCTGAAGATGGCTTTTAATGTGAGAGATTCTTAGTCCTTTCACATGCATCATCTGAAGAATGCTCTTTGGCGTTGCCTCTGCAAAATCCAGTTTGCATAATTGTTAGTTGTTGCTACAGTGCAAAACTTCAAATATAGCCAAAAATAATACCGTTCCCTCTTCTTTCATATATATCCAACTTACAAGAGAGGGAATAAAAGAGATTAATATAACATTATCAACATTTGTATAAGTTGTTTCAATAATTAATAATGTAATTTTCTCCCTTCACACTCATATAAGAGGAGTAAGAAGAAGAAAAACCAGTGAAATTCTACCTTGAAATCAATTAAGCCAGGTTAATCATAACCAAGAATCAAAGCAAAAAGGAAAAAATTAAACCAACATCAAAAGAATTTCTGGGAATCGACATAGACGAAATAGCTAACCCTAGCTGAAGTTCATGAAGGAAAAACTCACTGTTTTTTCCACCAAGACCTTCCACAACTTCAACAAAGTATTCATGGAGTTCAGGTGTCCATCGCAGACGTGGATTTTCTGATTTGTGGTATTTCCGTACACCCGTTTTCTTAGAATTCTTCATTCTCTTCAGTTTCACGTCGTACAGAAGCAGCAACAAGAGAACCTTAATGGAAGAATACATACATACATATATATATATATGACTTGTTTTGCATCTAATGTGAAAGCAGCATCGACCATGGAATGTTTTCTGTTTCTAAGGTCAATGACTTTTTCATCAAAAAAAAAAAAGGATATTTTTGTTAAAACATATACTTTTCATATTCTTATCTTATGTAATATACATTTCTTGTCTTCTTATGATTTTAAGCAAAACAATTCTTTTTCCTTTTCGGTTGGATATATATTGAACATTCCCTTCGGTTTAGATTGTATGGAATTAATATTAATAATAATTAAAAAATGTGTGATTAGAGAAATAGATTCCGTCAGACTTTTCTAAAGGTTATCATTAATTCCTTTGAAAATAACAAATAAGAAGAGAGTTCTTTGAATTTTTTTAATACTGTTGCACTGTTTCTTCAAGATTTTTCATCATTTATCTATGTTCAATGCCTGTGAATAATAATAATAATAATAATAATAATAATAATAATAATAATAATAATAATAATAATAATAATAATAATAATAATAATAATAGTAATAGTAATTAAGATAACAGATAAAAGTTGCAGCATGTAAAAGAAAATTCAATTTATTGATTAAATTTCAATTTTTTTCATATAATTTTTTGTACTATTTTAATTTATCCCAAGTCTTTCTTTTCAATAGTGAGTTAATTCATATTTACTTCAGAATCTTATTTCTAATGAGTGGTTAGTCAAACTTAATCAGTCAATTAATTCGTTTCCAAACTTCACTTATAACCTAATATGATTAATTATGTTGATTATTGTGGTTTAGAAGAAGAAAAGCTCGTAGCTATCGAAAATATACGTGTGCGACATTATTTCCATATATATAACTTTTTTCTTTTCTCTCTCTCGCACGTGTTAAATCTAAAAGCTCACGAGGGAAATACCTAGAACATATCACATGCAGCTTTTAAGACGCGTATTTATTTGTTGTAGTCAGTCATGCATGACCAACCCATTGGTATAAGATCCACCAATAAAGAGAAGAAAGTAACTAAAAAACACCTTTTTTAATTGTGAAATGTTTAGGAATTGTTATAATAATAAAATATTTTTTAAATGATTAACTTGTAGAAGATTAGTACTAGTTGATAAGGTTATGGTTTCTTCCAAATAATTAATGAGTACATACATTTCTTCCAAATTAATTAATCCAAAATCAGAAAGTATGTGAAAATAAATAATATTATATTTAAGTTAATCAATTATTTTAAGAGGAAAATGATAATCAATCATTAAAGGCAACTTTAAAACAACACAAAAAAAATAATTATCATGTTTATATTTTATATGATAACTTTTTTTTTAAAATGACTTGTTAATAATTTAAAATTAATTTTCATGGCTGAGATATTGACAACACTTAAAAAAAACTTGTGTGTTAGTCAAGATTGCGAAAAAATAGAAGAGGGCAAATTGCATTCCCTTTCTCCGATTCCAATCAATTTCACGTCAATAATAGACGGTGCCTACTTTTGGACCCATGCATTCATCTCTATGCTGCCGTGTTCAACACTAAACTAACCTCAAAATTCAAGCACCACGGAAAAAGGAACCTTATGCTTAGAATTTCTCAAATGCTTCATTCATATTCATTATTATTCTTATAATTATTATGATTATTATTGTGTATATATGGGTCACATTCCCATGCATCTTTGTCCATGAAAATATCATGGACCACCATATCTTTGCCATGAATTTGACTATCCCTTAACTCGGTCCCACTTCCATGCACGTATAAACCCTAGTGTGGTAGCCAACCCATGAAAGAGTTTGCAAACAAGGGTTTGCTTCTTCTTTCCCACCACTTTTTTTTTTTCCTTCGGGTAGGAATGTTTAGGGTCTTCTTTCCAGGTTTAGTTAAACAGGGTCGATTTGTGGGCTTATGATAAAATAATAAGGTTTTATCTATGTACAAATTTCAATTTTCCCATGTTTGTATATTTCATTTTTTTTTAAATAGCAAAACTAACTTAAAAAAAATAATGCATATAAATTTTAGTTTTAACAAGTAAAGGATCATTAAAAAGACTAAAAACTATTAAGGAACATACTAAGAAATTAGTTATTTTCTGCAAATTTTATTGTGAACAACTGTTTAAATTTGTAGAAAATTTATTTTTTACAATTTTTACAAAAATTTTGCAAAAATATTCCCATGAAATATGAGAATTTCTAGTAGTTTTTATTTATTTATTTTTAGTTTTAAAAATAGTTTTAGAGACTAATGTTGAAGATAAATTAGAAAAAAATTGTTTGATAACTTTAATTTTTAAAATTGTTTTAAACGAATATAGATGATAAAAAAAAGTTGAAAAAAGTATTTTATAACTATAAAAATAAACTACTTAATATAATTAATGATATTAATTTTCTTTTTTTAATTTAAAAAAATTAACAAAATAGTTATCATAATTAGTGTATTTAAGATTATAGTTAAACAATCCATTTTATGTTATTAAAATTGTATTGGATATCAAAGTAAAATAGTATTAAATTAACATTTTCTAAAACATTACCAATTTATTAAATATTATATTGACATTATGTTATAAACTTTTGTCAAACGATATATTACTTTAAGGTGATTTTATTTCTTTATGTTCATCATTCACCATTTAATGAATCAACAAAACGATGTAAAACTTAAAAAAAATGGTACAATAAAAATGATAATAGCTTAATAGTAAAAATATATAACTAAAACATTCTTTTTTTACTTTCCATTTCTTAATTTGTGCCTTAAGGAAACTTGTTTTTAACTTTTTTCCTTTATCTACGGTATTATTTTATATTTTCACTACAAGAAAAAACACATTTAGCCATCGAAATTAGCGACCGAATTTTTTCGGTCGCAATGAGCGACCGATTTAATTTTGGTCGCAATTAGAGACCAATTTAGCGACCACTTTAATTTCGTCGCAATTAGCGACCGATTTAGCGACAACTTTAACTCGGTCGCAATTAGCGACCAATTTAGCGACCAAAATATGATTTAGTTTTCACTTTTTTATTTAGCGACCGAAATAGCGACTAATATTTTGCGTCGCAAATTTTCGGTCGCTAAATCGGTGGCTATTTCATACATAAATAAAAAAATCATTTAGCGACTGATGTAGTAACCGAATTACAAATTGAAATAGTGACCGAATTAAAATCGGTCGCTAATGAGAAAATAATCGATGATTTTATCTGATTTTTGCAATATCGCTCAAGCGAAAATAACATCGCTCGAGCGACGCCACCTGCACAAAATTGGCATTCTCGGGTTGTATTTCGCTTGAGCGACACTATTCTCGCTCGAGCGACATCCGATTCAAACATGAGGTCACCCATGTTACATTATCCGGCTAACTTTGATCGACGTTTACGCATGTCAACATTCGCTCAAGCGAAAGTAACATCGTTCGAGCGACGCCACCTGCACAAAATTGGCATTCTCGGGTTGTATTTCGCTTAAGCGACACTAGTCTCGCTCGAGCGATATCTGATGCAAAAATGTGTCAATAAATAAATAAAATATTTGTCACTTTTAAGAGCGGTTAATATTTACACTGCTCTTAAAAGTGAACATATAATAGTGGTTCCAAGTGAACCGCTATCATATACAACCACATTTTTTTATTCTGATCGATTAGATTTTCAAATGATCGATCATATTTGATAATTTTTTCAAATAATTAATTATAATCGACTAGTTTTCTAAATTATTGATTAGAATTGATTAGTTTTTCAAATAATAGATTATAATTGATTAATTTCTGAAATATATATTAAAAAATTATAATTAAAAATATAAATTATTTAAGAATATTAACTATTGTAAAGATAAAGTAGAACATGGGAGGAGATGAGGATGATAATATAATGATAGAACTTACAAAAATGTAGAATTGAGAAGTTTAAAACAAAAAAAATTAAGAAAATAGAGATTTAATTACACTGTTAATAAATTTAAGATAATACTAGTTTTGATTTTTATTTTTAAATATTTATTTCAATTTTTTTAAAACAGAGAAACTATAATTTTAGTTTCTAAATACTCAATTTAAAGAAATAAATTTATTATTATTTAATCTTTTAATTTTAGTATTAAAAATTTAAATTATATTTTATTAAATTAAAATAATTACAATATATTTTTCTACTTTGAGAATGAACAATATAATTAAACTCAAAATTGACAATATTATAATACATTTTTGAACTCTTTTGGATTAATTTTTTTTTCCTAATTTTTGATAAAGTTAATTTTAATATTTAAAAGTATTTAACATTTTGAATTCTGAAACGTTTTCTCTAATAGCAAATTTAAAATCATAATATTCAAAAAAATAGTTAATGTAAGTTTTCATTATGATATAATGAGAAATTAATCGATGATTTTATCTGATTTTTGCAATATCGCTCAAGCGAAAATAACATCACTCGAGCGACGCCACCTGCACAAAATTGGTATTCTCGGGTTGTATTTCGCTTGAGCAACACTATTCTCGCTCGAGCGACATCCGATTCAAACATGAGGTCACCCATGTTACATTATCCGGCTAACTTTAATCGATGTTTACGCAGGTCAACATTCGCTCAAGCGAAAGTAACATCGTTCGAGCGACGCCACTTGCACAAAATTGGCATTCTCGGGTTGTATTTCGCTTGAGCGACACTGGTCTCGCTCGAGCGATATCTGATGCAAAAATGTGTCAATAAATAAATAAAATATTTGTCACTTTTAAGAGCGGTTAATATTTACACCGCTCTTAAAAGTGAACATATAATAGCGGTTCCAAGTGAACCGCCATCATATACAACCACATTTTTTTATTCTGATCGATTAGATTTTCAAATGATCGATCATATTTGATAATTTTTTCAAATAATTAATTATAATCGATTAGTTTTCTAAATTATTGATTAGTTTTTCAAATAATAGATTATAATTGATTAATTTATGAAATATATATTAAAAAATTATAATTAAAAATATAAATTATTTAAGAATATTAACTATTGTAAAGATAAAGTAGAACATGGGAGGAGATGAGGATGATAATATAATGATAGAACTTACAAAAATGTAGAATTGAGAAGTTTAAAACAAAAAAAATTAAGAAAATAGAGATTTAATTACACTGTTAATAAATTTAAGATAATACTAGTTTTGATTTTTATTTTTAAATATTTATTTCAATTTTTTAAAACAGAGAAACTATAATTTTAGTTTCTAAATACTCAATTTAAAGAAATAAATTTATTATTATTTAATCTTTTAATTTTAGTATTAAAAATTTAAATTATATTTTATTAAATTAAAATAATTACAATATATTTTTCTACTTTGAGAATGAACAATATAATTAAACTCAAAATTGACAATATTATAATACATTTTTGAACTCTTTTGGATTAATTTTTTTTCCTAATTTTTGATAAAGTTAATTTTAATATTTAAAAGTATTTAACATTTTGAATTCTGAAACGTTTTCTCTAATAGCAAATTTAAAATCATAATATTCAAAAAAATAGTTAATGTAAGTTTTCATTATGATATAATGAGAAATTAATCGATGATTTTATCTGATTTTTGCAATATCGCTCAAGCGAAAATAACATCACTCGAGCGACGCCACCTGCACAAAATTGGTATTCTCGGGTTGTATTTCGCTTGAGCAACACTATTCTCGCTCGAGCGACATCCGATTCAAACATGAGGTCACCCATGTTACATTATCCGAGCTAACTTTAATCGACGTTTACGCAGGTCAACATTCGCTCAAGCGAAAGTAACATCGTTCGAGCGACGCCACTTGCACAAAATTGGCATTCTCGGGTTGTATTTCGCTTGAGCGACACTGGTCTCGCTCGAGCGATATCTCGATGCAAAAATGTGTCAATAAATAAATAAAATATTTGTCACTTTTAAGAGCGGTTAATATTTACACCGCTCTTAAAAGTGAACATATAATAGCGGTTCCAAGTGAACCGCCATCATATACAACCACATTTTTTTATTCTGATCGATTAGATTTTCAAATGATCGATCATATTTGATAATTTTTTCAAATAATTAATTATAATCGATTAGTTTTCTAAATTATTGATTAGTTTTTCAAATAATAGATTATAATTGATTAATTTCTGAAATATATATTAAAAAATTATAATTAAAAATATAAATTATTTAAGAATATTAACTATTATAAAGATAAAGTAGAACATGGGAGGAGATGAGGATGATAATATAATGATAGAACTTACAAAAATGTAGAATTGAGAAGTTTAAAACAAAAAAAATTAAGAAAATAGAGATTTAATTACACTCGTTAATAAATTTAAGATAATACTAGTTTTGATTTTTATTTTTAAATATTTATTTCAATTTTTTAAAACAGAGAAACTATAATTTTAGTTTCTAAATACTCAATTTAAAGAAATAAATTTATTATTATTTAATCTTTTAATTTTAGTATTAAAAATTTAAATTATATTTTATTAAATTAAAATAATTACAATATATTTTTCTACTTTGAGAATGAACAATATAATTAAACTCAAAATTGACAATATTATAATACATTTTTGAACTCTTTTGGATTAATTTTTTTTCCTAATTTTTGATAAAGTTAATTTTAATATTTAAAAGTATTTAACATTTTGAATTCTGAAACGTTTTCTCTAATAGCAAATTTAAAATCATAATATTCAAAAAAATAGTTAATGTAAGTTTTCATTATGATATAATGAGAAATTAATCGATGATTTTATCTGATTTTTGCAATATCGCTCAAGCGAAAATAACATCGCTCGAGCGACGCCACCTGCACAAAATTGGCATTCTCAGGTTGTATTTCGCTTGAGCAACACTATTCTCGCTCGAGCGACATCCGATTCAAACATGAGGTCACCCATGTTACATTATCCGGCTAACTTTGATCGACGTTTACGCAGGTCAACATTTGCTCAAGCGAAAGTAACATCGTTCGAGCGACGTCACCTGCACAAAATTGGCATTCTCGGGTTGTATTTCGCTTGAGCGACACTGGTCTCGCTCGAGCGATATCTGATGCAAAAATGTGTCAATAAATAAATAAAATATTTGTCACTTTTAAGAGCGGTTAATATTTACACCGCTCTTAAAAGTGAACATATAATAGCGGTTCCAAGTGAACCGCCATCATATACAACCACATTTTTTTATTCTGATCGATTAGATTTTCAAATGATCGATCATATTTGATAATTTTTTCAAATAATTAATTATAATCGATTAGTTTTCTAAATTATTGATTAGTTTTTCAAATAATAGATTATAATTGATTAATTTCTGAAATATATATTAAAAAATTATAATTAAAAATATAAATTATTTAAGAATATTAACTATTGTAAAGATAAAGTAGAACATGGGAGGAGATGAGGATGATAATATAATGATAGAACTTACAAAAATGTAGAATTGAGAAGTTTAAAACAAAAAAAATTAAGAAAATAGAGATTTAATTACACTCGTTAATAAATTTAAGATAATACTAGTTTTGATTTTTATTTTTAAATATTTATTTCAATTTTTTAAAACAGAGAAACTATAATTTTAGTTTCTAAATACTCAATTTAAAGAAATAAATTTATTATTATTTAATCTTTTAATTTTAGTATTAAAAATTTAAATTATATTTTATTAAATTAAAATAATTACAATATATTTTTCTACTTTGAGAATGAACAATATAATTAAACTCAAAAT